AAAAAAAAAAAAAAAAGCAGAGGCGCACTTGGTTAACTGTCCATGCAGCGTCAATTAAAAAATAAAAAAATAAAATAAAATAGAAAATGCTAGGACGGTATCTGAGATTACTGTTGCGCTCTCACCGACCGGCTGCACATCACATGGAGAGCTGGACTCCTCTCTGCGCTTGTCTTCAGTCTGTGCGCACAGCAGAGCGTGTGAGGAGAAAAAAAGGCTAGATACTCTCAAACACACCCATCCTCCTCCCACACGGAATTACACTCAAGTGCTTGCTGCCCATGCCCCGGTGCTGCTGCTGCTGTCACCCTGCAAACTGCATCAGTGCTGTTCACTGAGAGAGTGTGCGAGTGGCTGGCACTGTTATTTAATCACGCACTGATGTCACTTTATATTTAACACTTTATCTGAGGTTTGGTAGCGTGGAATCATTAAATAAAGACATAAGTTGTGAGACATGTTGCTCAGCTGCGGTTCCAAACCTGGTGGTCGGGACCCTCTAATGGGCCGCAGGATACATTTAAAGGGTATGGAGATGGTTAACATGGTAGGAAGTATGTTTTTCTTTAAATGTTTTTCTTTGAATCTTTTAATGTGCGTTATAGAATCGTTTTACCTCGACATTCTCCTAAAAAATATTCATATAAATCTGTCTGAGAAGAAGCAGTCACTTGATGAATATGACAAGGTTTGTTTCAATGCGTCACAAGCCTAAAAAGTTAGGAAGGGCTACAGTAGAGAGACTTTGGGGTAAAAAAAAAAAAAAAGATTTCAGCACCACAGCAATGGACAGCTCCCAACTCCATCAGCTCCAAAATAGTGGAAAACAGCAGACAAGTCTTCCGAAATTTCTTCAGCCTTCAGTACTCACTGAGTAACAACTCAACCGAAGATGTTCAGTCCAAAGGAATTTGGACTTGGAGATAAAGTCCTCATTGGGTGGTAGTTTTCTGTGGTGGGGGAGCCATGACATTTTAAGAAATTAAGTTACCAATTAAAATTTGTTCATGCTGGCTGATTTAAAAATCAATATTAATTACAAGAAGGGAATTACATAGAGATTTAATGGCCGCCATCCATCATTAGCCTGTTGTATGTAGCGAGACCTGCTTTATGTAAACCACATTGTAATGAATATGCTAAACTGGTGGAACTGCCTGCCAAGAAAGTGATGGGTTTGTCATTTTTTGGATAACCACTGTTCCTAAATGTAGACTGTATGTGTGTGTGTGTTCTCTCCACCGCCTCACTGTTTATCTCACTCCCTCTGACACTCCACATCTCTCTTTGTCTTTTTTATGCATAAACAAAGGACTTACACACATATATGAAATGCACGTGAACACTAGTAGTGATGAATAAACAAATAACCGTCTGTTTCCCACAGATTGCTGGGTCCATCAAGAAACAAATCACTCTTGACCAACTTGGCAAACTACAGTTGTCACTTTTTGGTCGATATGGAAACAGACATTACATTTCTGGTATCATTGTACCTTTTCCGTCCGTCTCTCGGTCTCTCTCTTTCTTTCTTGCTCGTTCTCACACGCACATCACACACACAGAGACACACACAGCTATAAACCATTTTACCACCTTTCATAAATGGGTGCAGAAGCACACAGCTCTCATAGAGCACCTAGCGTCTGGATTCTGGAAATCAATTTATACCGGCACAGGACGCTTCTGCCCACACAGCCCTCAAGCTTTAGGATCAGGAACACACAAACACACACACACACAATGATTCTCTCAAACATATGCACCAATGTGGCCATAAAAAAACCAAATTAGTTTCTCATATGTTACTGAACGGCCCGTAAATAGAGATAAAGAGGCACACACATCTACATACACACCCCTTTCTCTCCAGGATGATTCATGTATTTTAAGGGCTTGCTGTTTAGTGTGGGTGAGCACATTATTGCAGATGTTCCAAGGAGTGGGTTGGCAGGAGCAGGGCCAGAGGACAAAGAAAAAAGAAAAAGGGAAAAAAAGGAGGAAGGGGAGGAGGAAGACTTCCTCAACAGCTATTTTGCCAAACCTGCGGCATCACAAATGCAAAAAAAAAAATGCATCAAATTAAATTAATATTAGCTCATGATTTATATGGTGGTTTGGAGTACTCCTCTCACAATCAGATCATTTCTCTAACAAAGATCTCTCTAATCAATAACTGCCATTTCAAAATAATAATAAAAAAACACCCATTAACACTGGAACATTTGGTATGTGACTGCAATAAAGGCTGGTTTCGATTAAGCACAGAGTTTTTCAAAACTGCCACCAAATATTAATACTGTAAAATATTATAATTTTCTGTATTACTAATGCTGAGAAGAAATAACAGAACCATTGGAAAGGTTATTATTTTTTTATTTTTAAGAGTGTATTAATTACACTATGCTGCTGCCTGTTCCTAAGAAACAAATATCATGTCTATTTCTGAATATATGAAGGTGTTGGCTTGTGCAGCAGATCAAAAGCAAAGATTTACAAAATACTGGATATCTTCTTTAAATGCTATTGCCATCTAATTGCGATAGACCAGGAGGTGGTCAATGCTTTGTACTGCTGGTCACATTAATAACACCGTGGTGGATTCAAATGTCCCTTTTCCTCCTTCTCTGTCCTATTCTCTTGGCTTCCTGCAGTTTCCTAAGCACTAATTACTGTGTTTATGCTTACTTGCGTCATGCTGTCCAAAAATATCGCCTTTCTGGAAGCAATTATGCAAAAACAGACAAATGCCTTGTCAAACAAGTAGAGCTCCTTACAACAAAATGCTTTTTTTCTCCCCACTCACAACCTGAAAAATAAAGGCATTTATTTACTACTCTAATCTCATTTCTCATTTGTCATAAAAATAAAAATAAAGACAAAACATATCAAAATCCACTAATTAATACATTTTGGATGTCCAACTTCAGGCTTATTCCTAAACACAGGAAGTGGTCAGCAAATGCTCGTTAACCAGGGAATCTGTGACGCACACTTTAAAAATGCAGCCTTCTTTTTTAAATCTGACATCAACTAACTATGTCTTTGTCAAAGCTAATATTGTTGTTGCTGATGGAGGCAATGAAAAGAATCAGCGGTCGATGGTTAGTGCAGTTTATGCCTTCTGCTGTGTAAATTGTGTTGTATGTAATTTCCTGAAGAAAAATGTCCCATAAAACAATCAGTTTCCATTTTTGGGGAAAATTTTGGTGCAGAATTGTTCTTATGTCTTATGTAACTGGCCAAATGAAAATGGCATGATTTCATTCTGAGGTATTGCCAGAGCACCAAAAATACACGGACTTCACTACCTCACAATCAAAGAGCAAGAGTATATATAGTCATTAATGAACCTAGAGAAAGATATCATAGTGGAAGAAAATATTAATTTCTCCACAAAAGTTACCTCATACCAAATAATAATGCACTGCAGTCTAAATAATAATAATGTTATTTATAATAACGTAATAAAAAGGCTCTGACTGGTGTTTTTAGAGGTCTTTCTATGAAATACTCACCTTCTAAACACGGCAGGTTGAAGAATAGAGAATACACCATAAAATACCTGTTTTAAGATTATAAATTCCTCATGCTGATGCACACAATACCTAAACTAAAACAGTAAATCTACAGCCTCACTTATTAAATACAGATGTTTGGAATACAAATCATTGTACAGAAAAACTAGATGATGTGCAGAAAGCTGCCATTGCACTGGGCACAAATTTTCTATTGTGGAAACACTTAAAGAGCTTCTTATTATTACAGCAATGCCCATTTGGTGCAGCTTAAGTGAACACCAGTGAACTCTGATTTATGTAGAGATGCAGGGGGTTTGATAAACCCCAGTTCAAAAGTGCCACATGTTCCCTCCCACAGTGTAATCCTGCTTGTTGGCCCAGTGGTTTAATCCAGGAATCAAACCCCACCTGAGGTGGCAAACACCACAGAGAAACCCTTTATGAATGATTGCTCTGAGATTTACAAACAAACAGACAGAAGGACCCATAGACAGACACACACACTTGCATACATGCAGTATTTATAGAAGGCTACAGCAGCCTAGGTGGCTGATTGACTGGCTAACAGCCTGGCACTCCCCCAGGCTGCAACAGCAGAGGGGATTCAGAGAACTGGATGATGGATTAGAGCTGCAAAACAATAATAATAAAAAATAACCACACAGGTCCATAGTAGATACACAAGCACACAAACTAATTATGAACTTCTTGATTTAACACTTGCTGCTGCCCTTAATAAGATGAGTGGCTATACAGAAGTTTTAATGGTACAGTACTTTCTCTACTGTGGGGAGGTTCACTGCTCTTCTGTGTTGAGTAGTTAAGTGTAAATTGTGGTTAAGTTTAAATGCTGAAAATAAAGTGAAAAATACCAGACTGAGTAGCAAAGAACTCCCCACAGGCAAAGTTTCCACTAGGGACTTTTGAAGAAATCAAGAGAGAGCACTTTGCTCACTGACTGCTTAATGCCACCACTCTGGATGATGGCACAGTTACACATTGCCCTCCATTTAATTATTTTTGCCTCTTAAAGCCGCCTTGAGACTGTGGTCTCAAACCTTAAAATAAATTAAACTGAGTCGGTACTGTTAATAAATAACATTTGTACATCATTTTTTTTATTTAACATCCTGTATGGCTTTATGTCTCCAAAAACAACAATCAATTATATTATATTTGTAATTTACTACTGAAGATAGACCAGCAACCTGTCCACCCTGCCTCTTACCCCATGCATGGAGCTTAGCTTAGCATGGAGACAGGAAGCAGCTAGTCTCACTCTGTCCAAAGTTAAGAAAATACACCTACCAGCATATTTGCATTATATAAAATGTATTTAGCTGATACTTTTATCTAAAGTGACTTACAATATGTGCATTCAATCATATGGATACAATCCAAACATTGTAATCACCCACTAGAAAGTAGAGTTATATGCTGAAACTATTTCTTGGCCAGGCCCAGAGCCTTTTTTTTGGCTCAACCAAGAAATAGTTCCAGTACATAATGTGCTAATTAGTGAGTTTTGGAGGTGCTGGTAGGCAATTTTTTTTAAGCAGAGCCTTGCTAACTGTTTCCCTCTGTTTACAGTCTCTTGGAACAAGCTTCACATTTGGTGTACAGACATGAAAGCGTTATCGATCTTCTCATCTAACTCTCTGCAAGAAAGCGTATTTCCCTTGGGTGTATATTTATGAGAGCATTACAGAGTATTGTTGTTTGTTATGTTTAGTAGGGTTAGTGCCGTAGAAATACTCAAATCAACAACTTAAACTTGGTTCTCTAGACATGATACATGATATCAAAAAAGCATCTGTTATTGAACACTACCCCCAGCGAAAAAAATAAATAAAGAAGCTTTTCAAGTTGAGTTCTTCAGTAATTCATGTGGGAAGGGGCTTTAAATATACTACAGTTTGATTTTTATTCCATTTTTTATACGTTTTTGTAACTCATAATACAGGTATTCATGGACATATAGTATCACTGAATATACTATATCGGTCAATGTAAGGCTGTAACCTTTTATCCCGCTATCTCCTATCTTTAATGTGACAAGAAAGTTGCTTTTATATGATACAGTATAATTGGTTATGATAGATTTAGTTTTTTTTTAAGGGTACTTTGTTGAAAACAAAACATCAGATTGTGTTAAACGGTAATAACTGTCAAGGGTCCTGATAAGGAGTTCAGGAGATGTATAATGTTTGACAAAACTGTTGTAATGACGGATCAAAGGTCCAAGTCTGTTTTCCTGTTAGATCAACCTTCACACTTCAGAGGGATTTCTGTCTCGGAGTGAGTGTAAATCTCATCCGGGTGAGTGTATCTCTGAAAATACATTCAATACTTCAGTGGATCTTACAAACTACTTTCCAACACATGTGCACATGTTTGGCTTTCTAGTGTTTCTAGCATCATGGTGGAGTTGGCTTTCTACCCGGCCGTGGCACTGATATATTTTTTCGGAGTGATGAACGCAACACAGAATGACCGGGTGGAGCTGGACGACCGGGCATCGATGAACGTGTTCTGTCTGTTTGTGTTGGCACAGCCATTATGTCTGGTACTGGGAGGATACACTGGCATGGCTACATACCTCATCACAGCTCTGGTCTCCTACAACTTCCTGCCTTGGAGGGAGACAAAACAGCCTACAAAGGGAAAAGACTCAAAGAAAAAGACAAACTGAGAACCCGGAACGTACACTGGGTGGAGATGAAGAGACAGTGGATCCAAACAGGTTGCAAAAGAGAACATTTTTTTATGTAACGAATATGCATTGAAAGTGAAAATCTTTTCCTATATGAATAAAGGAATCTGGTAATCTGCAGCCTTGCTCAACCACACAGTAGTTATTAAACCTGCTTACACAAAAGTGTTTCTCATCTGCAATTGTAAACATCTGTGAGAAAATACATTATCCATGGACATTCAGTCCTTCTCTGCAGAGGAAGTGACTCATTTTACAATTCATGATGCAGCAATAGGGTTTATTTTCGACAAAATGGATGGATCAGTCTGTAGTTTCCATAACACATAATAACCACAATGGCGGAACTGACAAACAGAGGAGCACCAAATACAGAAAAACGATATCAACTAAAAAACTAAAAAAAAATCTCTAGACCAAAATTCAACAGAACCTTTCCAAGATGGAAAATAAAACTAAATTATTTCAGCTGAAAGTTAGATAAGAAGATTGAAACCACTCTATGGTTAAAATAAAGGTAACAGCTAGCCTAGCTCTGTCCAAAGGCAACACCTACAGCACCTCTAAAGCTAATTAACATGTTCATTAGTTTAACCTGTACAAAAGTGTAAAAACATGTTCTGATTTTGCAGAACATTATGTGTCAGATTATTTCTTGGTGGGTCACTTCCTGAAGAAGGCCCCCTTATGGCAATGACAAGTATTCAGGAAGAGAGGTATAACGTGCAGCTATGGACTGTCAGGCTAGCTGTTTCCCCCCTTTATGCTAAGCTAGCTACATATTCACTGGACAAATATGAGAGTGGTATCAATCTTCTTGTTTGATTCTGGGAAAGAAAGGGAATAAAAGTATATTTCCCAAAATGTGAAATTATTCCTTTAATGGACCAGTGAGTAGGATTTAGTGGCAATCTCTCATCCTTGACATGGCTGACTTTATAGTCATCTATGCTGTGTAATTTCTACTAAACATAATTATAACTCAATGGATACCTAACCCCAAAATGGATGTGACCGATCTTTTAATGAATAAAGCATTAAACGCATTAAACACATTCATGAACACTGCCTGCAAATCTCCCCCACAAAAACATATTATTACTCTACAAAACAAAAAAACTGCATTGTGTTTTTTAATTATCCACCCATGTTTATGAATGACTGTGTGTCCCTCTGATGTGGCTAAATCTGGTAATGTGGAGAGTGCTGTGTGTGTGCTGTGTAAAACCGGACTCAAAGAGAGAGTGTATAATGGGATTAGACCGTGCAATTTAGTTGATAGTCCGAGGCTTTGTTCAGTAGCCGTGCAGATGCTCGCTGTATGTATCTGAGAAACAGTGGGGATGTTTTTTTGAAGATGTTTATGACTTCTTTCAGCATTAAAATCTTTAAAATTTCCAGTTTCTGAATGTGTTGTGTGTCTTTCACAGTATCCTTATTTACCTTATTTCTCTTCTTACAAGTGTGAATTTATAAGGTGATAACCTATTGCGTCAAGCATTTGCCATAAATGTCGTATCTCCTGTGCAAGATGTATGTGTGCAGTGTTCGCAGTGTACCTTGCTTATTGTCATGTCAGTACTACCTTCTGCATCCTCCATTATTTAAAAATAGCATAAATAGCCTGAACCACTGCTCACGTATTGCCTTTTTACCAGAATTCTTCTCATTCCCCAGCCAGTCCTCTTAGCTGAATTACTTCCACTTGTTGTTCATCTATCCATCTCAGTATTTCTCCACATTCAAGTTTGTTTCCATGATGCTGCTAATTATCAGTCTATTTCGATTTCTTTGTTTTCTTCAGTTCCTTTTCAACATCTGATCTCACTCCCATTATCATGGACAAGAGCTGTATTTACCAATCAACAAAAACATTTATGCAGATATGTTTTAGTGTATAATTTAATTAATCAAGTTTGATTAAACAGATGTTGGACTGACGTGAAAATAAGTTTTTATTTTTTTGCCCAGCTGGTAGCAGCAGGACACAACCTGTAAACACAACATGAATAGGTTACTGATATATTATCTCCTTGTAAAGTGGACATGTTAAAATGTCAGGAAACAGTGGTTTATTTACACATTAGGCAGATATGGAGCAACATTGTCATTTATTTGCAATTGTGTTTGTGTGCACATGATAAATGCAAGCCCAATATTGTTTTGCTCTCTACTAACTTCTGAGGGAAATATCTGGTTCTTTAGCAGCTAAATGCTCCACTGAGTGGGAGTGTATCTCTATTCCCAGGGTCCTATGTTCCCAGGGTCCTAAATTCCCTAACCCTAACCCTAGAAATGGGCAACATATAACCCTGGGAACACAGGAATGACCCCCAGTTGGTTCACCAGATAGTCAGTAACTTTGTCTGGTGCTGGGTAGCTAATATACAGTTAATTTATCAGAGGTTTGGTGCTGAAGCGCTCCATACAGTTGAGGGGAACATCAGACTCTGCAGACATGCTAGCAATTCTGTGAGGCTCTGTTTAGACATAGTGATGCTTTAAGCAAAATGTTCACCACCTTAGTTAATTGTTTATGATAATATTTGCTAATTAGCATTAAACACAAGGTAAATCAGTAGAGATATTGGACAAATGACACTTTTGACCTGATTACTAGCTATAATTCATCCTCTAATGCAGTGATTCACAACCTTTTTCCTTAAGGAACCCTTTTCTATCATTGAGAAAACTGATGCCTGACACATATTTTATCAATATTTCAAATTACACTTAATGCATAACAATAACAGAACAACTGATAAACAGTACAATCAACCCAAATAGTGAACGCAATAACTGCAGGAAGTTTGTGTAAAACAAGCAATTTGGATGAATTTGAATTATTTGCTGTGAATATTGCATCAGAGTTGAGTTTTCTGATATTTTTAGGGACCTTTTACAAAATCCTTTGTCTTTATTATGTATTTTTTAACAATCATACATACTTAATAGGCTTCTTTTAAAAAAAAACAAAGATGAGGCTGTTCAGCAGAGAGACTCTAAATATAGTTTGTTCAGGTCTTCAAGTTTAGATCTAAAATAATAAAAACATATATAAAAAAATAATAGTAACAATTTCATTTAATTTTCTTCACAGAAATGAACAGATTGCTGAGATATAGGCCTACTGTATGTATTTAGTTTTCTTACACCCCATTAAATCAAGAAGGCCTTGCGACCCCCCTTGAAGCTTTGGTGACCCCTAGTGGGGGTTCCCAGGTTGGGAACCACTGCTCTGATGAATGTCTGTATGAAATTTCATGACAAACCATTCATTATTTGTTGAGATATTTCTGACTGTGCAAAGCAGTGGACCGACCAACTGACTTTGCCATCCCGATAATATTACAGTATTTTTACTGGTGATACTGAAGTTCAGTTAATTTTAGTCTGCTCACGAGTAGGCATAATTAATATGTGACATTTACTATTTTCTCAGGTATTTGACTGAATTTCAAATAGATTTTTATACTTACAGGGTGATTGATAGAGTAGGACAGAGATTGATGGATCAGCAAGTAAGAACAGACTTACTGGAGCACTGTAGCGTAATGAAACAGACGAAGACATTCAAATGAAATTTCAGGAGTTTATTACATGGAGAGAGCAGATGGACCACATACAGCTTGGACGTGACAGGGTTTGTGTATGGATGTTTATTTGTTTGTGACTGGCATCTTCAAATGGTTCTTGCCTCCTCTGAGGCGTTAATGAACGTCGTGCATCACAGTGCTTGTGTCTCCCGTCGCTGCTGGGACAAGCGCAGACCGACAGAACTTAATGATCAGTTTGGAAAGGAAATGAAGATGTATGAGTTTTGAGTCTGTATCTCTAACCCTGAAGTAGAAAGGAGTGCATCTGGATGAAAAACATTTCCTCGTGTCTACACCTCATCCCCCTACAACCTGTTTTTTGCCTTTTTATCCCAAATGATTAATAAACTCTTCATCCATCTGTAAAGGATCATCTGATTTCTCAGCTGCTTTGGTCTTAATATCAGGCGTGTTGTAATCTGCAGACAGATGGGTAAATACTATAAAAATCCTGAACAATCTGGTTAAAGAACAAATTTATGTAAGATAATCACAGAAGAAATTTAATCTCATGAAAACAATTCTTTATGGTCCAAACCACAAATGAAAGAAATCAATATACAATAAGATGTTATTAGGATTCATCACTCCAGAAGAAACAAAGGACAGTTGTTTTTAACATTTATTTTCTTGAGGGAACATTGGATCCTTCATTAAATATTTACTTACATTATTTACAGTCAGATATTTTACATGGCTTGGTCACATGCACATTGTCATATAAAAAAAGCTGTACACACATTTACACTCATTTAAGAGAGGGAGTAGTCTGTGCAATAAAAGGCACAAATGACCTTTGACCCTGCATTTATGTCCCATGAGTAAATATTTCACAGACACCGCCACATACTGTATTAGCATATGTGAGCTCAATGTGACAACACACACCTGGAGGAAAAGTAGTTGAGCAGCTACAGAGAAGCCGTGTGTTGGTGTGCGATATTCACCGCAAAGCAGTAAAGTGCCCTCTTGATCAGCAGCCCTCTTGACTGTGTCTAAATGCAATCCCATCCCCTCAGCAGCCTGAGGCAAAGTTGATAGTCTCTTCAGCCGTGCTGATAAAGTGAGCAGAGACGTCGTCTGACTTAGAACAGAATTCTCAAACAATCTGTAGGACAATCTACAATCCTCAAAATAATGATTGTTAATGTCCCACATACACATTCTGTTTCTTTAAGGCAGTAAGGCCTGTTGTCTGAGGCACAAGGCTGAAGCTGAGACACTGACTGCTTTGATTTAATTTCCTAGTAGGCCTAAGGTGTTTGGGCTGGACTGGGCTGGAAATGCTAAAGGTGGTATCACACAATTCACTCACTGACAGCTTGACTCTCCAATCTGTTCTATACAAGACAGACAGGTAACAGCCACTATATACTGATTCATTTTTATTTTTTTATTTGCCTGGGAAAATTGGTGCGGTTTATGTTTTGCTTTCAGCCACATGACCATTCGCTAAACCCTGCCCTGAACACTGGTTGTCACACACTATCATAACTATCATAGCTATAAAAGGGTTTGGTTTGTTTGTTTTAACCTTCATCCTACCTATACTTGCATACTTGTTATGTCTCACAGGTCAATCAGTGTGTTACTACTGACTTCATATTGTTGTTTTCTGTTTGTTTTAATTTGTACTTTTTTAAAATATGTACTGGAGTCCTGGGGGATCCCAGTCAAAATAACCCAATTCCACCAATGCAATTTTAATAGATTGAAATATGTATTGAGTTCATAAGTTAACATTTTGCTATAGTGGTTGTTTCTGACAATGGCTTATTTTTTGGGTCAGTAGCCATTGTATATTAAATATGTTAGTAGGATGAGAATTAAGCTTTTCCAAATCCAAAAACACATGTAAAGGTGTACAGAATAAATAAAATGTGTGGCTAACTCAATCCTTTTCTTTGGTAAAAGTAAGGCGTACCGTTTGAATGTACAAACATTAAAGCATAAATCTAAGTTCTGTGTGAAATGGAGGACTCACTGTTTCAAAACTGAATTGCTAATTACAACTTGTAATTGTAAACTGCATAAGTTCTGTGCAAAAAGAGAAAGCTTGACAGGAATAGCAACAGTAACTAGGCGGGGCTTTGCAAATGGTCAATGTTTTTTTTTGTACTGTCACTGCGGTGCACCGAAATCCGAAATATTCAATTACACAGGTAGTAGCTAAGAGCGAGCAAGGTATCAGCAAGTGATTTTTAGCTTTGGTCAAACAGCTTTATAATTTAAACCAGATTCTAATATGGGCTGTGGGGACCTACAATAGCGATTCACTGTTTTCACATTTGGCTACAGAACATTGCCACCAGCTGGTGTACCAATTTGGAATTGGAGAGGGGTATTTATCAAACAGTACTCACTACATGTTACTATTAGTGTGATAATAGCAGGTGTGATTTCCCCCAGTGGATTGTTGCAGGAGAAATAGATTAAGGTTAAAGCTTTCATCCTGTGTCTCTGATTATATCCTTCATAGAGTAATATGACATGTTTGTGGTCAGTAATATTAAGAAAAATGCCTGAATGCCAGCAGACAGTTAGGGCAATATGGCTGGAGATGGACTCTCCTGAGTGGTGTGCATGCTGCTCTGCCAAAGTGAAAATTCGCATTCTCAGATAACAATCACTATAAAAAAGGGGGGCTTTAAAGACAGGGACATACTGGGAACCGTCTTTCTATGTTTTGACTGTTATCTTACATACTGTATCAGCACAAACATTAATATCATTAACTTCTAAACCTTATGTAGACCTAAACAGATGTGTTCTTTTCAGTTCAGTTTCAATGCTTTAAGCCTTGTTTGGGACTCTGGGTCTTTGTAAACTAAGTCTAAAATTAGGCTTAATACATATCTGGAAAACAGTTCAGAGTATTCACAGCAGTGTTCATTATCCAAAGTGCATGTAAATCCTAATTTACAGAGATTATTCTGAGGCCAGCTGATGAGAAAGAAGTCAGCTAACCTCGACTATGTATGACACACTTATTTACACATCAAGTAATGAAGTGGTGCTGACATCGGCAGAATACAAGACTCAGAACTCTGGGCAACTTTGGGCGGGGCTGATCCAAGGCCAGATAATAATTTAGGCCTTCTGCGTGGCTATAACAAATCTTCCACGCAAGCATCTTTTGCGAAGCACACTCAACAACATTTGTGTTACATATTTTTGACTGTCAATGCTCCAGAATCCAAACAAATGGTCAAATCCTTCTATGATTTTGATAGCAAATCCACTCAAGTATTTAACAATAAGATAAAAGGAAGACTGAATTTCCTACTGAATTGCTATTTTGATATATGTCCAATCAACCGATGAGCACAACTAACATCATGGATTCTTCAGCAAATGTACAAGCACAGGGCACCTCAGAGAGTGCATAAAGCTACAGTACTACAACATCTTCTCTAGCAATAAGTAGGAGTCTGGAGAAGAAAATGGAGATAAAGGCTGTTTTAGAACTGTTATCACATAAAACACACCACAGAGCTGGTGAGCAGGGTCAGTTTGGCTAATTAGCACAGATAAATACATAGTGTACAGTGAAGGGCCCAGTGGAGTCTGACTTAAGATCAAAGTATATAACCCATTATGCTATGGAGGTTAACTTCCCTACTGACCACATTCTGTACCGCTCACGCCAGTTTTATACACAAACTACTATACAATTACCATATTTTATACATTTTTAAACAAGTAATTATGGTCAAAAATCAGTGCATAACTTCTCAGAGTTGCAAGACTTTCAGCTTTGGCCAGATTGGGAAGATGCCATTTAAGATGTGTACGTTTTGTACAGAGAAGCACAGTACATAGATAATAAGTAAAGGGTATCAAATGCAAAAGCAAAACATGGAAATGAGCCTTTTACAAAAAGGGGTGGTACACGGATAGTACCTTTTTTCTTAAAATAAAATAAAAATCTCTCAAACAAGGCATTTGGTCAATTCAAAGAGCTACCTAAATTCACAGGGTCAAGTAATGACTAAACGTATTACTAACAATATCCTTCAACCTTTACCTGAGTTTCTAAGCATTACAAATATTAAAACCAAGAACGCTTCAACACATCACCCCCATCTACACATTTGCATTCACCACCCCCCCAACATTAAACCAAAACCCATATCATTGCTTTTAGAAAGTTTTGAACTCATGTTGGCGGTACATACTCCTTCTTATACGAGAATTTGCAGAAAGTATATTGAAAGTACTAACTAACTTCAGCACCAATGACTGCTGTTTTATGATCCAAGCTTCATTATTTAAACTACATGTTTCTGGGTCTTTTATAAGGAAAAGTGCACTAAATCACCAAATTATTCTTTTTTAAACAAAGGCAGTGACATTTCAGAGCTGAAAAACAAATCTCAACAGTGATATTGTGATAATGACAGGCATGAATTGGGGTTTTATCCTTTTTTTGACTGACACAAAAAAGCCAAGTTCAAAAACTGAGAGTGATGAGAATGCTATTATCTGTATTCAGAAGAAAAACACAATTGAACTGACTTTTTAAGACTTGGGTTATTACTGTTGCCTGTAGGAATGTGTATGTATGTGCATATATGAGTGTGTGTGTGTGTGTGTGTGTGTGTCAGAGTGCTGCAGTGCTGAATTTGTTACATTAAAGCAACACTAAATCAACACAGCGAGGGATGCCAAGACCTATCAGGCAAGATGGATAACCGAAACATCCACTGAAATCTTGTGTTTGTGTGAGTCCACAGTTTGTGCATATGTGTCTGTGTGTTGCCCACACGCGTAATCTGCCACATAAACAGATTTGTACATCAGTGCACGGGTACAGGAAGTTTCTTCCTGCCTTTAAAATGTAGCAGCAAATAGTGGGTGGAAGAAAATTGGGATTTTAATAAGAAATCCCTCTCAGTTATGACCTACTTTCACCCAAGTAATCTTGCCTGAAAAAGCAGCCGGTAGAGCTGCGAGACCTCTAATTAAAAAGGCTTCCCAGAGAAGTTCAGTAGCGGGGGAAAGAGACGGACTCTTCAGTAAGGCTGGTCAGTCTGACACAGCCGCTAACCTTAAAGATCAGAGTGGAGCTGAAAGCAGGTGGGGGAAAACTGGATAGGGCTCCTATTACCATTTGAGGAGAGGATAAATGGCAGGTATGGGCCACATACTGTAGGGATGGTCGAGATAATGATCTGGCACTTTGGCCTCAATGGAGTACCTGACTCACAAATGTGTGCACTGTTTGTGTTTGTGCGTCTGCAGGGGCGTTTCTTATTTTCACTGCAGTTAGCACTTTACAGAGCAGATGATACAGTCCAGTCCAGAATCCTCCAGGGGGCCATTGCTACCTTAGATTGTGCTACTGGACGTGTGCTTTCCTGTTTGCAAGGTCAGCAGCTTGACAGTCTGATAGCCAGAGGGTCACAGAGGACACATCCACACATAGATGAAGAGCCAGGCATTAAATAAAAGACTTCAAAAATGTCAAGCACCAGGTGTTTGTATACAGAGACCTGTAAAAAATGTCCCCTCCCACCTCACATCAAAGTCCAAAAAAACTGAGGTAGGGAAAATAATAAATTAGTACAAGTCATTTAAAAAAAAAAAAAACATGAACATGACTTGTGGAACGCAATAAAGTTTCAGTGATATACTGAGAGCGACTTGAACTAAAAGTGATTCCGGAGTAAAAGGGGATGGTGTTTTGTGTAATTTTTCAGTGATGTCTAACCCAAGATTAGCAATTGTCTATTGGTCATCCACCACGATTAACACATAGTATGACCCTCCGATGTGTTCAGTATCCTGAACGGAGGAACAGAGGTCCCAGTTGTTAGTTAGCATCCCTCTGGGATTTAAATTCCATCTTGACTTTCTAACAATAGATACATGATACACACGTCTTTGAGCAAATTCATCTCTCACTGTTCCACAACGGTTCTAAAACCTTGGTGAAAGAACAGAAGGACACTTTTTCTTTTTCTTTTAATACCAGGCTGTGGTAGTTTTCATGTCAGGGGAAACATTGTTCAGCAGGTGTATCCATGGCCAGGAGGATATGGTTTATCTTGTCCATCACACCTAAATGGCACTTTCAAATTGGCAGTAAAAAAATCTGAAAGGCAAATAGATTTTTTGCCTTTGAGTACATATTCCGCCTCTGCTTTATCATTTTGCACCTTGGCAAAAAAGAAAAAAACACCTTCATTGCCTTGGAAACTGTGTTTTCAGTGTCACATCTCATTGCCAGGAGTCAGCAGGGCACAGATCAATGGCTGAAGTTTTAGCAAGATGGCCGACAAAGGAACCACTTCGGTTGTCACCTCTTCCTCCACACCTTTGACGACCAGATCTTCACTGTCTTGTCGCTGGAGAGAGAGAGAGAGAAAGAGGGAGAGGGAGAGGGAGGTGGGATGATGAGCAAAGGGGAAGCAAGGAGAACACAACAAAGGGAGAAAATAACAGAACATCAATCAGGCAGTCTTCCCTTTCAAAACAACCCATTGTACATCAGACACAACACAAAGAGATTGACTTCAAAGTATGCTTCACACACACTTGCCCACACACACACTTCATTAAAGACCCTTCTCTGTGGTGTCAGTAAAAAAAACACACACCTCTCCAACCTTTTAGAAAAGTGTAGAAGTAAGTATGATTAATATCTCTGCAACAAGGAAATCTAATCAACTTACCCACAATTCTACTCCCAACTGACCAGGCAATTTAATTTTCACTTTGCACATTGCCACATTCATAACACCTTGCACTGGTCAATTAGGCAATCCCCAGGACAGCGTCACAGTTTTCATTAACACTAGCTAAAGAAGTTAGCTGTGCACTTTGGCTGGAGATGCTAAGTGTCAATTGTGTAGATTTTGTTTGAATGCTGGAGGTGTGAAATAGTAAAAAAAAACCTTTATGGCTTCTTCCCCAGAGTTAGATGAGAAGATTGATATCACACATGTTTGTATGATAAATATGAAGCTACAGCCAGCAGCCGGTTAGCTTAGCTTAGCATAAAGACTGGAAACATCAGGAAACAGCTAGCTTGGCTC